GTATATATATATACATATATACATATATACATATTTATATTTATATTTACATGCTTGCGTATATATGTATATATATACATATATACGCAAGCATGTGTATAAAGCGTATCTGAAAAATGCACGAATATTACATACCTCGGTTGAAAGAGCCAAATTTAATCACGTTTATTAGCAAGAAAATATCGGACGTTCAAAAGAAATTTTCACCTAAAATATTAGCATACTCCGTATATCTAGTGGTATATGAATATTTCATAGTTGTGTGCATGTGTGTCACACAAAAAAAGCTTTTAATGAACTTTTATAAATCCGCTATAAAGCGTCGCGGTGAAGCAGGAAGTAACGCCGGATGGTGTCATCGCGCAATTGCAAATCTCGTCGGCGGAAGCGGCGGATAGCGGCGCGTACTTTTGTCAGGCGAACAACCTTTACGGTCGTGATCAGCAGCTGGTGCAACTCCTCGTACAAGGTAGGAACGTGGGGGTTTGTAGGTCAATTCGCTCCGATATAGAATAATTGAATTCCAAATGCGATACTCTTGCTCTATATGCATATATATTGGCGCATGAGTGCATTAATATCGAATTCCGCACGTTTTAGAGCCGCCACAACCGCCGAATGCCCTAGAAACCGCCATGGTAGCGAGTCGCAGCATTAACGTTAAGTGGCAACATAAGTCGCAAGACACCAGCGAAGTTACTAAGTACATTCTTCAGTATAAAGAGGGCGAAGGTATAGAGTAACAAAAAGTATTTAACTAACGTTAAGCGGATTATGTAAAAGCGCGATGTGTGATAACGTGAAAGCGACTTTTTTTTTTTTTTACATTTGAGAAGAGTTTTATTACGTTTTTTTGCTTTACGATATTTCTCTATAAAATAAAATCTTTTTAAATCACTTCTTCTAATTCTAATTTTGTCTTCTCTCTGTGTTTCTCTTAAATTTGTTAAAACTTAATTAACATTCTCTCGAACTCTTCGAATTACTACTAGGCGGAATATGGCAGCAGCAAGAATTTACCGGGCCACCTTTACCGTACGCGGCGCTAATTGACGAATTGAAACCCGCCACTAGATATACGATTCGCATAATAGCGGAAGGTCCGGCGGGCCGATCTGTTCCTTCGACAGAACTAATTGTCAAGACTGAACCACAAAGACCGGCCGGTCCGCCGATGAATCTCGCCGCCAGAGCTCTTTCCTCGTCTGAGATTCTCGTCACCTGGTCACCACCGTTGCCGGAACTTCGTCACGGTGACATACAAGGTTTCAACGTGGGTTACAGAGAAACGAGGTAATGCGCGAAAGATATTGGGAATATTAACTTGAGAGTTAATTGTATGCGAGCACAACAGCTTTTGTTTTTTTTGTTTTTATTTCAGCTCGAACAATCCGTCGTACAACTTTACCTCCGTGTCGGGTGACGGAGAGGAGGGCGGCGGGGAGCTTCGACTTACAGGTCTTAGGCCCTACACCAGATACACTCTTGTCGTTCAAGCTTACAATCAAGTTGGACCGGGGCCTATATGCGAGCCGTTGCTGACACAAACATTGGAAGATGGTGATTGTCAAAAAACTGTTCGAATCTCTTCATTTTGATGATTTTTCCTCTCTTAGTGTTTCTAGTTCTTTCGCTTAGTGTTTCAAAATGGATTTCTAAGATGTAACAAACATAGAAAATAATTTCAAAATAGTTCCAAGCGCTCCGCCGGACGACGTGAGATGCGCAGCGCTCACTTCTCAGTCTCTGCAAGTGTCCTGGCAACCTCCGCCTAACACACACAGCAACGGCATTATTCAAGGCTATAAATTAAATTACGAACCGATTCTAGCGGACGCCTGGCGAGGGGTGGATGAAATGGAGGTTATTAATTTTCTTAAGCATTTCCTTATTTTACACATCTTTCACTTTAATTAATTAATTTGTCAACTAACTAGGTTCGGAAAACAAGCGCTTTAACAACAGTTCTGACTGGGCTCAGGCGGTACACTAATTACACCATCCAGGTGTTGGCTTATACCAGAATTGGTGATGGAGTGTCTTCCGCAACGATTTACTGCCAGACTGAGGAAGACGGTGATTTATTCTTGACATTGTCAAACGATCCTTTCTAACTGAATCTCATTAAACATGTTTCTTGCACTTACAGTACCAGGTAGTCCTGCTGATATCAAAGTCGTCGTAAGTTCGCCGCAAGCTCTGTTCATCTCGTGGTTACCACCGCTCGAACCGAACGGAATCATTACGAAATACAACCTTTACACAAGGTAGTAAAACGTAAATTTTGCATTATTATATATATATATGTATATATGCGCATATATATACATATATAGTATACTATATACATATATGGGTAATTCTCAAAAAACGTAATCTCCGTGGACTGTAATCTTTGTGGTATATTGACATAAAAAACATAGATAAGTTTTTATATTGCATAGTCACGTATTCATATTACGAATGGTGACTTAAAATGGTATGAAAAAACATAATTCACCGCTATCCGTTAGTTAATAATAATTATTTTTTATCAAAACTGAAAGTTGAAATTTCCGCGTTCACAGAGAATCACCCATATACTATATACTATACATATACACTATATATATACTATATATACTATATAAATATATACTATATACATATATACTATATACTATACATATATACTATATACTATATACATATATACGCATATATATGTAAATATGCGTATTATGTATAAATATATGCCCCATGTTACATGTTCGTGCGAAAAATGTTTTCACAAGATTTACAATAACATGATCTCTTAAAAAAAAAAAAAAAAATTATCAAGTTCGGTAAAGATAACAGAAACATTCTGCAGAGTCGTTGACGGACGCGAGGAGCTCAATCACGGCAAGAAATCGTTGCCGGCTACGAGTATGCACTTCGAAGCGATTGATTTGCAGCAACACGTCGAGTATCAATTCTGGGTAACCGCTAGCACCCGAGTTGGTGAAGGTCAAAGTTCGAGAGTGGCGGCGCAGGTGCCGACTAATCGAGTGCCGGCCAGAATCTGGTCTTTCGGCGGACATGTAGTACGCCCGTGGCGAGGTTCAGCCACTTTGGAATGCAACGCAGTCGGACATCCAACGAGAGAATGGTACAAGGGCGCCACGGAACAGATACGCAGCGATTCCGCCAAGAACGTGCAAATTCTGCCGACTGGAGAACTCGTGTTGTCGAATCTTCAGTCGCAAGATAGCGGAAATTACACATGCCAAGTGGAAAATTCGCAGGGCAGCGACAAGCTTCATTACACCCTCACGGTGCAAGGTATAATATTTTAATTAATTATATCTTCTTTATTTTTGCGATAAAATATAAATTGTTTATCGCGACATTAAAACAAGTACTTATTTACTTATTTAATATTTACTGGTATAATTCGATAATTGCTATATGTATTATTTACATTAACAATATTCTATATATGCTTAATAAATTTTAATTAGTCGGCATATTAAATGCCGCGCTAGAATAATAAATTTAGTAGTTGAATTATGAAATAAATTTTCTACTCGAATTCTTCAGTTCAGTCAGCAACTAATATAGAATATTGATACAGTTCAGAATAACATGGGTTTCCCTTTCGTGTCGCAGTTCCACCTAGCGCACCCGTATTATACGTAACTAGTTCCACATCAAGCAGTGTGTTATTGCATTGGAAATCCGAGAATAACGGCGGCGCGCCGTTGACGGGATACACATTGTATTATCGAACTACTCACGGCACCCTCGATGAGTTACAATTATCTCGCCACGCTACCAGCCACGAACTGAAGGTAAATCCGACTGGGATTAATTGACATCATGTTGATTATATTAATTATTGATAGAAAAATTGTGATAATTGCTTCGAGCGGATAATTTGTAATAAAATGAAATATGTAACAATGAAAAGTAATAACGGTAAGTTTACATCGTATAATGAGTTGAAACCTAATGCTCTGTTAAAATTGAAATATATATAATCCGCTTGAACTAATAAATCATGTTCTAAACGCATATTTCAATCGATTAAATTAATTGTCACTTTACATTGAATACATTATTATTGTTACACGTAATTATTGGTATTTTTAAAACTATTCAAAGATTTTTGCCAGTTTATCAATTAAGGACGTTCTCCGAATTATTGATTTTCCTAGGATTTTCTTTAAATTTGCGATATACATAGTTTATGATCTTATTTATACGTAGCCTTTTTGGATAATAGGGATAGCAATGTTAAATTCCAAAATATGGAAGATTTAAAATTCAATTTTTAACATGGATTTCCTATGCTGAGTTTCCTTTGTGAAGTGGGGTTTTTTAAAGTTACTGACGACAATTTTTGTAGGATTTTTTTAAAAAACAAGTATGCGGTAGCGGAGAGTGTCTTAATTAAAATACGATTTTGAATAATATGGCAAGCAACCCTTGTTTTCAAACTATAGCTTTTTTTTTGTTTTTTTTTTTGTTTTGCTGGATTTATGCGCGCTGTGTACTGCAGCTATTTTTCTTCTTCTGCGCGGAGTAAGCGGGTCTTAGCAGTGCTGAATAGCTCACACAACTTAACTTTGTTACAGCAGTACAAACTTACTCATGAGAAGAGATAGTTTAGGTTGCTAACCACTGTATTTAGGTTGCTAACCACTGTAGTCGGAGAACGTTCTTAAATTGATCACAGAGAGAAAAAAGAGATTGATTAAATACTTTTTTTTTTTTTAACAGGGATTATTGTGCGGAAATACGTACCAGTTGTATTTGACTTCGCACAACAAAATCGGCAGCAGTCCGTCGTCTCCGGTGCTCTCGGTTCGAACTCAGGGTCAAGCACCGGGAATTCCACCGGCTTCTTTTCTCACTCCGAATTCTACCACTTTAGTGTTGCGACTGCATGTCTGGCCCGACAACGGATGTCCCATAAGATATTTCGTTATTCAGTACAGACCGGCGAACGAATTTCATTGGACTTTAGTATCGAACAACGTCAAGATGCAACGACGATTCGTCGTGACGAACTTGACGCCGAGTACCGTCTATCAGCTCAAAGTCGAAGCTCACAACGTGGCCGGCAGTAATCAAGCGGAGTTTACGTTTGTGACGTTGACGAAAGAAGGTGGTAAGTTTGAGAATAGATTACATATTAAAGTGTCAGTTGCGCACAAACCATCGCGAAAAAAAAAACGCTTATGTACGGACTAAGTGCGATTTTCTGCGGGGAAAAATGACGATCGAACATCCGCGCTATTCGATGAAACTATTTTGTTTTCAAATATTTATATCCAAAAGAAACTGTGTTCCTGTAACTTTGCAGAACCACCACATCCAGGATTGTCGAAACGCGGAATGACATCGGTTATGCCGTTTTACGCGGACATTAAAGTGATGCTACCGTTGATAGTGGCTACTGTCGGGTTGGTCATCGCGGTGGTAATTGTTGCTTTTCGTTGGAGGATCAGTGAGTGTGAAAACATAAATTTTTATTAATTGTTTTGCAGTAACAACACACAACTTTGTGTGAGTTTGAAAGAATATATTTTTGCATACGTTTTTTTTTTTATTTTAATTACATATAAATATATATATATATAAAATTATAGTTCTGGTAGAGGTGACGCGAAAGAATGTGTTTGTTGACAGGATATATAGGAGGTCACGTGCAACGACCGATGAAGGAGTCTCAGGAGAATCAGCAGAATGCCGAGACTCAGCGAGAGCGTTACTACGCCACGATACACAAGGTGGCCCTTCAACAAGCGGCGAACACGGGCGGAGGACCCGACAAGATTCCAGGTGAACTTTTGTTTCGATATAGATTTCAAACTTCCAGGTTTGGAATTACAATACAATTTATTGTTGCGCCCGTAATTCTAATGCTGCACAAAAATGTAAAAAGATGTGATTTGATATTTTATTTTTTATTTTATTTCTCATTGGATGTGCTCGAAACGGATAGACGAGTGAGACAGTTAACCCGACGCGATTTGAAAGGTAGGCAATGCCTCTGATGGGTTACAGAGACAGCGGAGGACATTTCGCCGTACGCTACGTTCCAGCTTTCGGAGGGTGGCGGGGGAAGCCTGGCAGGATTGGGCGCTTTGGGCGGACTGGGAGGCGCGGCGGAGGCCACGGCAGCCGGTCTTCATCCGAACAACACTCTCCTTCACAGCTTCATGTATCACGAGCACGCCATGACCGAAGGATGCGCGAGTCCTCCACCGGCGGCGACGGTATATGTCAGAGATAAATCCGTTTTTTTTTTTTTTTTCAAAATTATTATACATGATCTGATAATAAAGAGTATATATCCGGATTATTGTAGATTCTCTAATTGGCAAATTGTGAAAATATTGCGCAAAAATGGCATCGTGAATAACGACGATCGTGCAATGATTGTACACAAAGATGATTCGCCATAACGCAACAGTTTTGTCGAAATAAAATTTTGTAAACAATATTTGTCAAAAATTGCGAAAGAGTCAGTCGTTATGCATTTCCATAAGTATATACATGAATTAAGTTGATTTCTTCATATGCAATTATATTTCTACATATTTTAAACATCACATAGCTGAAATTTTTTTCTCAATTATTGAACAATTTCTTTTTGAAATTAATTTTGCAAATATACTGCTAAGATGATTCGCCATATCCGTTATTCTTTTGCCGAAATAGTATTTGGAAAGTTATTTTGCAAACAACTACAAATATTTGATAAAAGATCAATGTTTTTTACATCTATTTTCTAAAATATATCTGTATAATTGCAAATTACAATTTTAGTACAAGATTTTGTCACATAATTTTGTAAATGTTTTTCTATCAGGGTTATAAATAATATCTACTTAAAAAAAATTATGAAATTAAAACTCTTTGAGTAAAACTTTTTATTGTTTATAGTTGTAAAATTTTTATAATAATTGAATATATTATAGAAGAGTTTTGTTTTACAAGTGGCACAAAAATATGATTAATACAGAGCATGAAGAGCGTTTCGTCGAGAAGACGACAGCAGAGAAAGCAGCAAACTCCGGGCGATGTCGAGAGCGACGAGAGCGAGTCTGACCCGGACCAACTGATAAGTTCGCGCACAGAATCGTCGAATCAACTGGACGCTGGCAAATTAAAACATAGTGCGTTTTTTGATCAAAATTTTTTTTTTTTTTTTTTTGGTTTTATATATTTACGAATAATTTTACGAATTGTGTTCTTATTTTAGTTCGCGCGGTTTCGGACTTTATCTATCACGGCACGTCGAGCACCTCTTCGGACATTTCTCCCATGTCCGAACAGAAGTCACTGCCACGAAGAGGAAGATCCAGGTAATGGCTCAAATAATAAAGCGTTAGCGAGAGACATCGTTACTCCAAGTTTACTTTTTTGTCATAATTCTTCATATTTTCCACAGTTTCCCAGAAACTTCCCTCACGCAGTGCTGAAGTGACAATAATCGAATGTTTTTTACGCCGTACTTGTCAAATTTACATAATTTTTCTTGTTTAAAAAAAACAAATATTATAAAAATTTTAGACATACATGTTCACTATACAACTTATCTCTTTATAACTAAATTAAAATTTGGGGTACATTAAATTAACACACAGCTCTTAAACAATCGATTACTGTTCATACCTCATCGCGAAATTGTCGCTCTTTCGCAACATCAGCCAGTAAATTCTCGTCTGTTTCTGTTGGCTGTCTCGTAAGATGGCATGTTCCCAGCAGGAGCTCTCTGCGTACGCTATTGCCACCGATCTCGGTCGCGGAGACCGCGTTTGTCGGCGGGAATCAAGGGGCGGTTGTGCCCACGCCGGGGAACGGAGACCGGCCAGAGCTCAGCGAGGCCGAGTGCGACATTGACTCCCTGAAGAAGCTGAAACTGGGCCTGAGGAGCTCTCTGTGGTCGCGGCCGAGCACTCAGAATAATCCATCCTCGGATTACTCCATCGCCGTCTAATCGGTCCATCCTCCCCTTCCCGTTCCTTCTTCCAATCCCGCGTGGTCATCAATTCTTTACGGTAATAAAGACCTCCTCCTCTTCTCTTATCTTTACTTTCATTGGGCCAAAGATTAGATATAAATGGATTTTTTTCTCTTTCGTGTCTCGTTGGAAGATTCCCTCGTGGGTACTCGTCTAGGTGCCAATCGACCGCCACGCGGGCACGTTTCTATTGACGGTAGATAAATTGCATTCTATTTGTAAACGGCGATCAATAAGGAGAGATGTGTATAAAAATAAAAATTCGTGGAGAGAGAGATTCGAGTTAACGAAGATAAGCATATACAGAAGAACAGAAACGGAGTTTTGGAAAAAAAAAAAATAATAATAATAATAATTTGTTGCAAAAGATCTTTTGAAATTTTTAAATTATAAACTATCGGAGAAAGAAACTTAGGGCGTAATTGATAAGGAAAAAGATATTTGCATTTCTTGCAGATGTTAGATGTCTTGTAATAAATATTAATTATTAATAAGTGTTATTAACACGACAAAGTGTGCGAATCTATTGTAGAACTGTTCTTCTGTAAACCCTGTTCCTTCGTTTGGTCGAAACTGATGAAGCTAGTCGAAAGTATCTAAAAAACAAAAAAATACATTGCGCGTCTCTTCTCCTCCTTATTATAATATATGATGCGCTACGTGAGTTAATAACACGTGCGTGTAAAGTGCGTGGAGTGCGTGAGTGAGTCTAAAAAGTCCGAGTGCGTGAATGATCGTCGAATCACGTGTTGCGAATGCGTGCCAAAACGACAATTTGCTCAGACCGCTGCGAGTCGTTTCGCCGGCGGGCGATCCATTCGAGACCAAAGACTTAAATCGTAGAGAGAACAGAGCACGGAAGAGTCCTTCGCGTATAACGAACGGGACAAGAGCGACAGGCTGCATTTCCGCTTCCGTCGCAAATTCAAACCCAATCAATCGATATAAAAAATTTCAATTTGCTTATATTTGCATCAATGTATATTTTTCTATACTTTTCTGATAACTTTTTTATCTTTATTATACAAATTAAACAAATACACTAATTGAAGACGTAAGTTAATTATTTGTTTGTCTCTCAGTAAATTTATTGATTTATTATATATTACTCTATTTTACTTATATCAATAACAATTCCGTATTATATAATTCTAATTATTTTGTCGCAATTCACAATTTTTTATTATAAAAACGTCAACATCAATTTTATTTGTTAGCACAAATCAACATTTTCCCGTCCCGCGTAATGTACATGTATGAAACAGCCTGAAGCTCTCGTTACCGTATAAAATTTATGCTCGTCGATGCAAATACGTTATCGAGATCGGAATGAGATACGAACGGATCGTAAGAGAGACAAACATCACACACACACACACACACACACACAATAACGTCTCTGTGAGTATGGATCGTTTGACAGTTGGGCTCTGTTGCGTTGTAAAATTTATATACGTACGATATAGGCACCGTTGATTACTTTAAGTCCGTTATTAATCCTAAGACTTCTACGTAGAACGTTTTTCTGTGCGCGGAGCGCGATATGATCGACGAACTATATCGAACTATCGAACGCAAAGCTGATTTTTGCTCTGTACATTTTGAGATCGAGGGGGGGGGGAGGGCGTTTGAGAAAGCCGCGTGCTCACTCTTTCTCTCTCTCTCTCTTCCTCCCTCATTTTCCGATATGATATCTCTTCTAATGTCGCGCACCTTCGAGACTTCGTAATCGGCGCGACCCCACCTATTACATATATACATATATATATATATATCCAATAAGTCGATAACTCCAATAAAAACTCCTCTTCAGACTGAAATCGAAAGTACTACGAAAATCGCCGACAATTGTACGCGTGCATCCTATTGTGTCGCGAGCTTCCAATACAACACTGCCAATCCGCAGACTATTTGTCGTGTAAAGAAGATAATTGCGATCTTTAAACACACACACACACACAATTATACATATTGAAAAACAAAAACCCAAAATGTTCTGTAACTTTTTTAGCGAGAGCGCGGAGAACGTGACGTTTTTCTCTAAACAAGCAATTATTTGACGACTCCCTTTCTGTCGCCGACAAACAAAGCGTCACATTAAAAAATAATTAAATATATACTATTATACGATTCGAAGATGTTTTTCGGATTTGAGAACCGCGTTAGCGGTCAATTTTATATCGACGTTTCTCGCGAACAATTCAGCTCACTTCATCAGAGGTTTCCAAGAGCAGTCTCTCTGATACTATACGACGTTTTTTATATTCGGATCTCTCTGTGATGGCGTATGTACTTCCATTTTCGAATTAATTTGAGCGTGAAGAGAAGATTATTCTGAATTTATATCGTATGTCTCGTATACAAGTCGACGATATATCTTTTACTCTTATACAGAAAAAAAAACAAAAAGTCCGTTAAAAAGATTAGAAAATTCATGCCACGTATACAAGCGACGTTATATAAAACATTTCGGGGTTATCATCGTGTGTAACAACACTAAAAAAACTAGGGAGAACTGTGCGCGACACTACGAAGACAAGAGGCGCCGTATATATATATAGATATACGTATCTAAATACATATATTTGAGTACATGGGCATAAAGATGCGTGCATGCAGCATGTACGACGCGTAATGTTTAATGTATATAAGAGAAGCACGTCAATCAAACTCGTAGTGTTCGATTAATTCAATAGGATTGATCTGCGAAGTGAAAGAGAAAATGCGAATAGTTGTGGCGTTTGCTGGACATTTTCGTCGACACGATTTTTGTACATTTTTTTCTGCGTCACACACACACACACATTATATATATATATATATAAATATACGTACGAACCGACCGAGTTCTGTCAATCTCTTCTGTCGTAATCTTTCAGGGACCAGTTTTCTCTGTTACCGTAATAATCGAGTGAGAAGTCGATAAAAAAAAGATTTTTCGATACAGCTCACATCAACGATCTCAAAACACTCAACGAATTTTTTACTATGTGATTTTTATAAAAATATAATCGCAAAAAGTACAATTTTTCGCCCATTTATTCGATTGATACTTTTAAAACTAATCACGACGGTTTTTACTGTGTAATTTGCTTTGTGTCGCGAACAGTTTTATATATAAACGGTCCTCGAAAATTGATGCAATGACATAACTCGGTGCATCCCTCGTCATCCTCTCTGCGATAAAATCCGTGCAACTCGAAGAATTGCACAATTTAATTGTTGCATCGATACGAATGGGAGGCGAGAGTGAACAAATCAAATGGACAATTATTATTGTAACTACGATTAACGTGTAGAAAAAAAAAAAAAAAAAAAAAAAACAAAAACCTAAAGAGAAGCGAGTCTGTCTGCAAAAGTCATCGCAAGGAGTAAAGTGTAAAGAAGTGTTGTGGCAAGTTTTTCTCTCCGTTCTGCGATCGGAGGTTGTGCGATTAAAAAAAAAAAACGAAAAAAAAAAGAAATAAATAATAATAATAATAATATATTGCGATTTAAAATTTAAACTGTATTAAATCTGTGGTACGGAATTTCGATGCATTGTGTCGATCGTAGAATCGATTAAATAAATTGATATCGTGTAAAGTACACAGAGTGGATGTTTTCTGAGTTCAACCTTATGAGATGTATACAACAAAAAAAACTACATGAATATGTGATTTAAATTTGCACACAAAGCACGCAAAAAATCTTGTGATTGTGAAAATATAATAATCGATTAAACATTCGATAGAAACGTTTTCGTTTCAATATCCCGTAAGCTCTGAAAACGTAGAGTCCAGATCGTCGCAAATAAATTTGTATTTTTCCTTCTCTTTTAACAGATAATCTGAAATGTAAACGAAAACATTTTATCAATTAACAATCGTGTATTTAACAATTGTTGCAAACAGATTTAACTGTACTATATATACTGATCATATGTCACACCTTCTCTTTTGTCCATTTCCTTCGTGAATATCTTGACAGTTTTTTCAGCGATTATGGCACGTTTCTCGGCAGCTTTTAGTTTGATTTTTAATTCCTTCAACTGAGCTTTAAACTCTTCCACTCTCTGATTAGCCTGTAATTATTAATTTAATTTTTTAAATATTTGAAAAACGAGAGAAAGAATAATTAATACAAAAGAATTCTTACTTTTTCTTCCGACACTTCTAAAGACTTCAGTATGTTACCAACGATGAACAACTCATCCTCTCTTTCGAGAATTTTCCTGAAACACATTATTATTCGTCATGTTCAAAAAATAATTCCACTAAATATCTCTTAGTGCAATTATCAGAAACTGTGTGATATAACGATGAAATATTTACACACACACACAAAGAAAAAAAAAGAGAAAGAGAGAGAGAGAGAGAGAGAGAGAGAGAGAGAAATCCTTGCAAAAGTAAAAAGGATTTTTAAATATAGAATATATTGCGTGAAAAGGTCTCTGAATAAATTCAAAATAGATGAGAGAAAGAATTGAGCCAAAAAGAGAACGCAGCCTCTATATTTAGAAAATGGATGCGATACGTACGCCTCGCTCGATTTAACTCTTTCTTCTGCAGCCTCGAGCTCATCCTCGACAAACGCTAATTTTTTCGAAATCTCATCCGATTTCATGTCGGCGTCTTCAGCAATGAGCCTGGCTTCTCTCAGCTGCGCCATCAATTGATCCATTCTCTCTTCGTCTTGCTTGCTTCTGTTTTCCAGAACTTTGCAAATACTGAATGAAAATCAAATTAAAAATTACGACGCTCGTAATTTGTTTCGTGATAAAGAAATAATGATAAAAATTTACGAACGCGTTATATTATAGTTGTAGAAAAATATTTCATTTCACTGTTCTATATAAATTTTATGACAAATAATTGGGTTTACCTTACCGCTTTGCGTCTTCCGCTGTTTCCATGGCTTGCGCGAGTTTTGCCTGAGCAGACAACCGTCGTTCTTCGGACTTCTCTAAATTCTGCATGCACTGTTGCATTTTTCTATTCAACACCGCCAGTTCCGATTGTGTCTACAATTTTACAATTGACAGACATAGAATATTTGATATATAACACGGGATTGTATTTTTTCTTAATTCACTAACCACGATGTAGATCCTCTCTTTCATTTCAAGATCCTTGTTCGATTTTACCAGCTGAGCCTTGCTCACTTCGAGATCGTGCTCCATTTGCACCAATTTTTTCGCCAAATCACGAACCTCGTCCTTTAATTTTTCTTCCCTTCGGGTTGCCTCTTTTGCTTGCTGATCGCACAGATCAGCCTTGTCCATCGCGAGATCTTTTTCGAGCTTCAGCGTTTGCAACTGTTTCTTGATAGCGTTCATGACTTCGGCGAAAATTAAAAACAAATATTTTTTTACATCAATAATGTTAATTTAAGAAAAAACCTTTTTTTAAACAGATATATATATATATATATAGTACTGAATTTTATAATAATATAAATTATTACCGAACAGAAGTATTTCAACTTTTAAGTCACAAGAGAGAACACAACTTCTTTATTATTTAAGAAACTTGACAGTAAATATTTAATTCTTTAATTATGATAATTGCTGTTTTCTTTTATGTTTGATTGATTTTTAGTATCTATTCTCGAAAATGATATTTCTTGTTTTTAATGAAAAATAGTCACGGGAAGTCACTTTTGCTTAGAAGTATTTTTCACGTTGTGCAAGAATGTGAATAATCTGAGTAATATAATTCATACTGCGTGTTAGAGTTTTTAATTACTAGAAAAACGAACGAAGTATTAAATGCGATGCTCGCGGGTTACTGTGCTCGATGACCGATGAAGACAATGCTTTATAGGCTCAATGTAATGCAAAAGAACAAAAGCAACCGTTGCTTTAGTTAGTCTCAAACGAATTCTTCGACTTCTTAAAGCAATGTACTTCGATGTAGGATGTTCATTGTCGATAGCAAACACATTGATAATTTAACATTTGCTTTGCGCTATATGCTTAGCGTTAAATAAACAAATTTTCTGAAGTAAAAATATAAGAATATAATATATTTATAATTTTAATGTTTATAATTTTTTTACAATATATTTTTACTTTTTATAATTAGATTTTAGAATTGTAATAATATTTTTATTATGCGGCAGGTATTGCAATGTAATTTTTTTATTTGTTCGCACGTACTTCGTATTTATTTTAAAATCTATTTTAAATAATATTTTTAATACACTATAAGAAAATTTCATAAAAGTTTTAGGAAAAAAAATAGTAACTTCGGAAAATAAATCAGATAAACTATTTTTCACACATATATTTTCTTATTATTTATTTTTATTCTTATTATTTATTTTTATCATTTCCGGTAACACACAAAAACATGAGAAATGACAAATCGCAAGAAAATTTCTAGTAGCATTTATTGAAAATACAGATTTTACAGTACACAGAATAAAAAGGACGGCGCGATATTGTGTGGTCTTGTTCGCGCTTAGCAGACGACACGGTTTCCCCAACGCCTCTGAAAGAAAAAAAATAAACAAAATCGTCGTTATTAATCTTTGATCGACGCGACAGACAATCATTAAACCGCTTAATTGACGGTCGATCTTGGCAAGATGTGTTAAACAAAGCAAAGCGATTATAATAGCAAACGCATGCCGTGTCCGTCAAGGAGATTGTTGCGTGAAGCGAGTTATTTCTAATGTAGCGCTTTATACAAATCGATCAACAATGTGCGGCATCTAAGCACTGTGAATCAAATAAACAAAGTTCGTATAGACGATAGCAAATAAGCGGAAAGAAGCGTTAGGAGCAGCGGCGAGAATTCAAATCGACAGTCCGTTTGCGGGACTTTAATATCCTGTCATTTCGGCAAACGTTGCATCCATGTCGTCGCAGACCGCCTTATACTTTTCCTTCTCTTCTCTGAGTTCGTCTGAAAGAACAAGCCGCGATTTCAAAAATCACAATTTTTCTCCGTTTTCTCGACACGCTTAAGCGAGAGTTCTCACCTTCTTTCGTATCTACTTCCTTTAACAGCGTCTTGACCGTTCTTTCTGCATGGATCGCGCGTTTCTCTGCCTCTTTCAATTTCTTTTTCAAAGATTTAAGCTGCAGTTTAAAATCCTCTACTCGTTGATTCGCCTGAAATTGAAGAGCAATTGTTTAAGCGATACAAATGCCAAATAACATTTGTTAGCGCGACACGACATACTTTTTCTTCGGACACTTCGAGGGATTTGACGATGTTCTGTACAATGAAGAGTTCGTCCTCACGTTCCACAATTTTGCTATAAAAAAAAAAAAGTGTACCATATGAGTTTTATATGAGAAACATATAATTTTACATAAGTTACTTAATAAGTTTTGCAATATGTCAGTTATTTGCAGCATAGAATCTTAAAGTTATATTATTACATCTCAATAGTGAAAAAATCACGTGTAAGTTCGATTAATCTGAGCCAAGAAATAAACAGCGAACATTTGAATCTTGTCAGTACCGGTTGAGGCACGAAATTCTGATATTAAGTATTTAATGATTTTGACAAAAGGATTGACGAATATACGAGCAAACTAAAAACTGTTTCAGCTCAATGTTCTTATAAAACAACTATAGAGATTCCGTTGAGATGCCGAGAGTCTCAATGTGGACATTTTTTGTACAGATGTCGTACTCAGGACAGACTCATCTGTCGTCAATAAGATAGCGAGTCTATTTGCAAAAGCGAAAAACTTATCGTCGGACTGAAGATCGGTGCGCCAAGTGTTCATAAAATTCTTGATGAACATTTAAATGTTTTTACACTTTTGAGTCTTTCATTGACTCAGAAAAGAGCAAAAAGGCGTAGAGTGATTTGATGAAGAAAATGTTAAAAGATTTATAAAAACGAAGCTCCGACGTATCTAAACAAATTTGTTACGGGTGACAAAACTTGGTTTTATTATTACGATCACGTAAAATAAAAAAAATTAAAAGGACGGAAATTTAATAAGCGACGAGGAATTTCTTAGCAGCAATAAGACCAAGCGTACGCAGATCAGCCGGAAGAAAGGTGACAGCACAGTCTTTAATGATGATTGGTTTATTCGAACGAAATTGTAACGAAGATTATTTTGAACGATTGATTTAAATAGAGCTATATTGCAAAACTTATCTCTCTAGTGGCCTATATAAACTACTTATAAACTTTTAAATCAATATACACATACGCTTCGCTAGTTTTTACTCTCTCTTCGGCAGCTTCTAACTCCTCTTCCACAAACTGCAATTTTCTGGCTATTTCGTCGGATTTCGAATCCGCGTCCTCGGCGATTAATCTCGCGTCTTTTAGCTCCGACATCAATTTTTCCATGCGTTCCTCGTCCAATCGACTTCTTTCCGTCAAAACGTTGCACATTCTGCGCGTGACGGAAAATTACAAAATTTCAACGCTAATATATCTTACAGTTGCGTTTTACTTTGTAACGATGACGAAGAAGAGTTCAAGATTTTTAAAAATTATTTGAAATTAAAAGGTAATATAAATGACAAAAATAATCAAAATACAACTCTGATGGTTTGCAACTAAAAAAGAGAAATAATAACACGGTCTTTAAGAGATATACCGACCGTTGGATATGAACGTACGCGAAAAGTATTTTTAAAATGCAAATTAATACACACGCGTACTTGTTCAAATTAATTTTAATTCAAAAACTTATAAACATCGGATGCTTAATATGTGCATTTTGCATCTCAAAAATCTATATTTATTAAAAAAAATACTTTTGCATGTTTATCCAGCGCTTGGCTCTTAAAAGTTCCGTATCATTTTTTTTTTTTTTTTTTTAGTTTAAAACGCTTAATAAATTTATGGACCTTTGAGCGTCATCCGCGAGTTCGGTCGCACGTGCTAATTTGAGTTGAGCAGTAAGACGTAATTCTTCCTTTTTCGTAAGAGTTGCTTCGATTTCTTGCACTTTCTTGGTCAGAACAGTACGGTCTTGTTCGGCCTATTAGCAAATTATATAATTAGCACAAACAAACATATATAGTTTCTTTGAATAGATATTTTAAACATTGTATTTATACGCGCGCGCGAGACGTTTTGATTGCTACGGATTGTTCCAGCTTCCTCACGTAATTGTTTACGTCTCTTTTACAGAAAGATTACTATATTGTTTAAGAAAATATATAATTTGTATTACAAAGAAATTATATATATGTATAAAGGTGTTTTATAATATTAATACGCACTTTGGACCAAGATTTTTCGCACTGCTCTAGATCAGCCGTCGATTGCTCCAGATTAGCTTTGGTGACGGTATAATCGCGTTCCAATTGTATCAGTCGTTTTTGCAGATCCCTAAGATCGTCGTTTAGCCTGTCGGCTCTTATATCTTCCTGTTTTGCTTTCGTCTCGTTCACTTCAACCTTTTCATTAGCGGCGTCCATTTCCATCTTCAACGCCGCAATTTTCTTTTTAATCGCTTCCATCGTGAATTTCGCTCGGAAATCTCTTTTCTTTACTCTTGATCGGTCTTGCGAAGCTACTACAATGCAACTTGAAGTGAAAAAATATAGAGTGAACTCGGAATTTACAAATTTATAAATCTTGTGCGCGCGTAGTCTATAGTTATAATAAAAATAAAATTTTTTAAAAGAAAACCTACATTACATTCTTCCTTAACTTTTAATTCCAACAACATTGCATAATAATTTCTTATTGTTTTATAATTTTATTATTTATATGTATTTTTTAAATCAATAAATATACATTGAGATAAAGACGTCAGACGTGTGTCAAGTGAGATGATAATGTAATCAAGAACTGTTACTATATATACTCACCCGTCAAGGGTTTCAATTCGTCATTTAAACGCTTTCGATATAATCTTTTATACTTTAGAGAAAACTTTACAACACAATCGCGTGTCGCAATTGCGACTAATGGATTGCGTAAAGCAAACAACTGTTTGACGCGCAGAGAAATTCCTACTAAAGGGGACAATACACTCACTGCGATCGTGACGATGAGATCCGCCGAGAGAATGCCTTCAACCGGATGCCTTCGACAGCTAAGCTAAAATAAAACGAAACTGATCGATCGCGGTGGCCGGCCACCTTCTCGAACTCCCCTCGATCGTATCCAATTCTATAATTGCTTTGGGACTTTGGCCGTTGTCCCGAAACCTAGCCCTCCGAGTCCTCCACCGGTTCTCTTTCATCGCAACGCCCGCCTAATGAAACGCGATATCCGCCGTTCCCATGCTATTCTCGGTCTCCGAAAAGAATCTCGCGTTTTCTATTGTTTTCCGTGTAATCAACTCTTTGTGTGTTGTAAACAAGCTCAGCTCAATTAATCCTCTTATCAGTGAACTCTCACTTGACACACGTTACAAGTCGCTATTATTTGACAACATAACTTGAATCTTCCCGCTGACCACAACTTCTTAGAGCGAGTTGACTGACGTCACGCAGTATTTGTGTGTGTGTGTATATATATATTAGAAAAAAAAAACAAATAATAATAAAGACGATTAAATCTAGTCAAAGATATATTTAATAATTTTATCGATTTATTTTTTTTACAATAGTCTCAGGTTGTGACACATTAAACTTCTTCGTGTAAACTACTACACTACGAGATGCCGTGTGTAACAAGAGAGAGCTACGCAAGTAAAATTCTACAAATGTTTCGATGAATGACTTTAGTAGTAATAATAATAAATACTTCTTAACCGTTTACACGCGCGTATTGCGCACAAGATCAATTTGTTTTGATCGATTTATAAGTACATAGATTCATAAGCAGATTTTTACACAATTATAAACGCAGTTGTTAAAAAGTAATAAAATCCAATCGTATCTCAAAAAGGATTATTTTGTTATATCAACAGTTTCTCCCTTCAAATATAGTAAGTACTTACTCTTTTATCACTTTTGCACATTATATATATATATATGTATATATGACGAAAACGTACAATGTAGTACGTAAGTTTAGAAATACGTAGTTTTTGAGTCGTCAAGCGTACAAGATATTCGAAAGTAACAAACTGTGCAAACATTTCATTTTTTGCGCATATGCTTCGTAAATATTTCGAAGTTTTGAAAAAGCGATGCATATATTGACACAGAGTTTTGGCAAGATGTAATACATGTATGTATGTACGTATGTATGTACGCGCGCGTGTGTGCGCGTGCGTGTACGTGTGTGTTTGCGTGTATATATATGTATATCAAGATCATATCAGCGTATCAAGAAAAGCGTTCGAAACAATATCGATATCAAATCGCATTATAATATGTAAATGCATTACTTCCCTGGCACAACAGCTTTATATATATAACAAAACAAAAAACGAAAAATAATACTAGTATATAGTGTATCAACCACACAGATCTCAATTATCAAGAAATAAAAAATACAGAATTAAGTAATGCAAATCTACTTAAGTAACAAATTAAAAGTAAAAATAAACATAAGATAATCGAGAGAGATGTCCATTTAACAATCACACCGCAGATATTGATATGTAAATATGCGGTTCAACAAATGCCTACACAAGTTGGTAAGTACAAAATAAAAAAAAAATATAAAAAAAAATAACTTGAACGAAAAAAGATATAAAAACAGCACGCAAACAAAAATAGTAAGAAATTTCTCATATATCACTCATTTCGAAGTGCGACACACAATCGACAAAGTTAAATATCACGATATACACATACTTAATAAATTAACAATTTACATTTGGGCGGAGATAGAAAGACAGTGCTATCAAACGCGTGGCGTTTCAAGAGAAAAAGACTTAGGTGCTAATGCGCCATTGATAAGAGCAGCATCGTCATCTAGAAAGATTAGACCCTGTTTCAGAGTCGATCGACATCGTCAACACGTAAACTGGCGTGTACGTGAGCAACAGATGAACAGCGTCATCGCGATCGAGGGCACGCAGTTGTTGTACCAATGAGCCAACGGTGCATTCTGCACCCGCGCAGTTCAGCAGTCTATGTCAGAAACATGTCAAAATAAGTGCATTATGTTGCAAAATCGTTGCGTATCTCAAGAGTAAATATCTACCTCAAAGTTGGGCTGTCCACTGTGCTATCCAACTGAGCGACACGATCCCCTAAACCAAGCCTCACGGCGAGCAAACACCAATCTCTTCCGTGATGATCGGGTGGATCAAGCATTTGCGCCAATCGCCGCTGTACGGCGGGTTTTATGTATTTCACAGGTTGTTTCGGTCCGAGAACGTAATTTTCCATTAGAGGCAGTCCGCAACCGACTATCTCCCATACGGTTTCTTGACGTTCATTCAATGGATTCTTAAGAGTCGCTTCTTCGAGGCCTTTGTCGATTAAAGCCGATATGACGGTGGCCGGTGCCCATGAATGAACAACCTATACAAACGTATTGACAAAAAAGTACATAATCCAATCTTTACAAATTCTTTAATTGTAAATAATATAAATATATTATTGTGTGTGTGTGCATTTTATCTGTACTTCGTCATATTCTCGAAGTTGGCTAGGACTTAGCCAATGCCTCTCTAGTAACATTCCAGGTGCGACTAATTCAATGGTGGCATCCATTGTATCTAAGATCACGCTTAGAAGAGCGAAGCACTGTGCACTGGTACCGCGCGGTCCACGAATCTGAATTTCCACGCAACTGTGTTCTTCTTCCTCGAACGTGATTATACTTTCGCAAGGTCCGAGACATAGCTTCGATCCTCGCCACCACTGATACAAGTCTGAATTTGTCGGATCCCACGACTGAGTGACTTTTCTCAATTGTGCCTGTGCGAAGTTTAATATTTCTCTTATCTTTATTTTTTACTTCATTTTATATATATATATATATATACCCAGTAAACAATTTGTTCGCAATTTGCTGACAAATTGTCAGCAATTTTAAGCAAAAATACTCAGCAAATTGGCATCAATTGTGTCCGCATTAGGCTTCGATTTTGTTGCCAAAGCTTGTCGACAAAAAGTAACAGAAAATTGCTAGCAAAAACCGAGCACAAAGCTTGATACATATTGAAAGCTTGACATATTTTGGTCTGAGACCAAATTGACGCCAAATATGAAGCAAGATCTGCGCAACACGACACAGCTTTGCTTGGTTTTTGCCAGCAAGTTGCTGTTATGTTTTGTCAACAAGCTTGAATATATTTTTGCTAGCAATTTTGCAATATTGCCAGACAAAACAAACGCTGCATCATATTTGATGTCTTCTGATAATAAAATTTGTAACAAGCAATTTGGCAAAATCTGTTTTGACAGATTTGGTTATCTGGGTATTATCTTCTTTTTAGTATATATTACCTGTAAATGCGTAAATATTGCAGTCAAGTGATACAAAGGCGCCTCTTCTGGACAAAGACGTAAACCAGCGTGAGGCAACGCGGTTGAACATGGTTTCCACGGTTCCCATAAACCAGGAAGACGTTCCACGAGATTTAAACACGGTATTTCGTACTCCACCTCGTCGTCATCCACCTCGCACTAAAACAAAATGTGATATATCCCAAACGAATAATCAATCAAATTTCTCATTGCTGAACTTACCGGAACGCACAAATTGACCGCTTGTAACGCTTGCAAAGCTTGAGCAGCAGGACAGGGACAACGCGCTTGAAAATCTTCTAAAGTGTACACACCGGTGGTTCGACCACCCAATCGTCCTCTCTGATCGGGACTCAGTTGCCAATTCAACACATCCTGCCAGAACCATTCGGGACTAAGTACTATCAAGTTTCCTGGCAAAAGAATACATTCCCCCAAATTCTGCAATGCAACACATATTAGTCTGATAAAACTATCCTATATATATATATATATATATCACAAATGTGTGTCTCATAAATTAATATCTAAGCTTGTAAACTGCAAACCTGTAATTGCAATCCAAGATGTCTGCAATGTTCCATACAAACCAGAGGATTGATCTTACGAACTTCATCCAAAAATTCCTCCTGCGTAAGCATTAACGGAGGCACTTCCAACGATTGCACGTACGATCTCCACGCTTCAGCAAGGCCGGTCCAAACTAAGGCGCTCTATAATACGTCATTATATCCATAGTAACAGAATTGTGCTCTATCTGGATATCACATTGATGCAGAAAATATATACAAGAGAAAGAGAGAAGAAGTCTCTTTTTTCTTTATTTTTTTTTTTTTTCTTTAAATCTGATAATAAGTGCATGTATGTATATATGGGAGTAAGCATTAGTGCAACTATTGAACCAAAGTACAAATTTCAGTTTTATAAACATCACTCAGTTATTTAAAGGAATTGAGAAGTATCTCGACCTGTTTATCAAGATTCGCCAGGGGCACGTACGTAGCCGCAGCACGCGGCGCGTCACGTCGGAGAATACTTTCTGCAACTTCCGGTCCATCCTACATCATGCATTGCATGCATTAAGGCTGATGTTAATAAACATTAATGGCCAAATAACCAGCAACTAAAACATATGTTCTTAATAAATCTGATTTGGTGTGATACACACACACACACACGCACACGCACACGCGCGCGCGCACACACACACGTACGCACACACGCACAGTATATATATATATATAAAATATGATATCGGATGTTTGTAGGAAAAGGTGCGCTTATAATCAATCAAACATATTGCAAATGATTGAATGTCGTCGAGAGTCATAAGACACACAATAAGATACTCTCAATGATACTTTCAATTATTTGTATACATATTAAATCAACCATGCATCATGGATGATGAGAGGAAAGTCGTGGATATCGTCGCGTTGACTCTTGTTTTATGAGTCAATGCTCGATCCCACATAGCATATCGACACTGCAAATTTTGAGAATGATGAATGAATTATACAGACAACAGCGTAACAAGATAGTCCATGATTGACCAGAACCGTTTCACAAAGGAGAGGAATAATGCTTAGGTACATTTATTTTATATACACATGGGTGTGTGCTCTGTATACATATATAGTGAATTAATATGTACATGAATTTTTTTTAAGGGAATTATTTATACACAATATTGCGTTAGTCACGATTTTGCTCGTGTTAAAATAAGTTGCACAACGGTTCTGCTCGTATATTTAGTATCAAGCATATTGATATCATGCATTTTACTGATATTTGAGAGTAAATTAAAACTTAATGTGTAATATCCGATACAGATGAATATTAAAATTAGAAGAGATTGCAAATTCTATCATCGAGATTAAAATATGTTAAATGAGAGAAAGATTGCTTGTGCCAATTAAATAAAATCGTTCACACAATCAATATTGAACGATGAGAAAGTATAAATCTCTTCTAACATTACAGATGAATTATATGAAAAGTATATCTTCATATTTCTGTACAGAAAATATAATCGCTTCACCTCGAGAAATTCCATCCTTGCATTATTTAAATAAGATCTGAGGACTTTGAGGCCGGGACTAGAAGGATTAGTTGCATCCAGTGCTACCATTTGAGGCTCTTCCCCCAAAATCGATGTAAAATCTTTTAAAAATGGTAAGAGCGGTGCGAGTAGATTGCCACCGTTAGAATTTGGAACTAAAGGTTCCGGCGCATAAGTGCCGACTAAGATTACTTTTATATCGTTGCACTTGCCGCCAAATCCTTCAATAAAGAAAAAAAAAAGCAATCGCAAATCTCAGAATTGTTATTTACTCTCGTGAGAAAAATTAATCACAATGACACGAAATTAATTATGACACACAAAAAAAGTTTCAGATGCAATCGTGACTCACCAACATTACTCGGATTAATACGATCCAAGATAAATTGCAGCCAAAATTTTATCTGTTGAAGCTGAACGGTCAATGGCTCTCTCAGACTAACTGTAATAAGATGCACCGCTGGTTGCTGGAACGTAAGTACATAGTGATAAGACGCCAAAAATTCTTCTCGTCCACACAATTCCCAGAAAACACATTCGCCACCTGATTAGTGAGAATAATATACTCTTAAATATATTATATATTAATATATTACATATAAATATATTATATATTAATAATTGATGCTAATTGAGAGATAACACATATTGTATTCATGTTATATGTTACAAAAATTTTCACGTATTATCGGATATTGTTTTATAATTTTATTGAAGTAGTAGTTTGCTCACCTACGTTACCACGACTCCACTCCACGCCTTGAGTACCTTCATACTCATTGTCGCTGTATTCGAAACTCAGAGAACCGTGTTTACTCGTCACGTCAAGTTCGATACTTGGTTCTCTCTATAAACATTAATAACGTTATTATTATTTACTTATATATCATATATTTTACGTGTCTCGCGCGTATATTAATACATAACATACCTTCGTGCTATAATTCTGGCTCCTCGACCTTCGGAAGAAACCAAAACTAAATATTCCTGACTTCAATGAATTGATTAATGACGATTTCCCGGACGCACAATGTCCAAGTAGTCTTATATGTAGCCGGTCTATCGGTCTGTGTGTAGGTTGCAGCTGACGAATATAGTTTTCGCGCTGATTTGGCTGAAAACAAGTTTTCAAACACAGTTTTGGCTACAATTTCTAAAAAAAAAAAACACTATAATAATATAAAAGAACTTACATTTCGTAGTTTATCTAATAAACTTGCAATATCTGGATGTCCATACTTAATCGCGGTAACGTCCGCTCGAATTCCTCGATTTGTTTTATCAACGTCGCAACCACCAAGGCACAAAAGTCTGACCAGATTAATGTGCCCGTGTCGAGCAGCCACGTGTAACGCCGTGAGTCCTTGTTTGTTCGGGATATCCAGATCAATTCCATTTTCTATCAGCAATGTCGTCATTGCCTCATCGCCAATCTCACAAGCAATATGCAAAAGAGTATCTTCTTTCTGAACAATAACGCGTTACTATTTTATCCATGAAATATCTTTCAATATATTGGCAAAATTTGAATAAAAGATGCCTCACAGAGTCTTTCACATTTAATGGAGCACCCTGCAACAATAATTGAGAGACAGTCTCAACACAGCCACGCCTCACAGCACTGATCATTGCTCCACCAAGACCCTGAGGAGCTTCAGATTCCTGTACAAAAGAGAATAAAGTTTTCGTCGACACAACATATCCCTACAAACATTTTTAATTGATTATTTTTATATCGTGGCGTAACACACTTAATATTAAGAACTTTCTAGCAAGGTGTTCTACACGTAGAATAAAGAAAAAACATTGACATATTGTTGTTTTGATTTTGTAACATATATTATGTATAAAAATAATTCTGATGTGTGTGCGCACGTGTGTGTGTGTGTGTAACGACGTGTAACTTTGTACAAAAAAAATTACTTAATGTCATTTCGAGATAAAAATTGATCAAAAGAAAAGAATGCGCAAAATTAATATCAATATGAGCGAAACAAAATTACAATAAATCATAAATGTTAATAGACTATGTGAGTTTTCACACCATAAGAATCCAAGGATGCTTAAGGCACGATTCAGCGTTTCCTCTTTCCCTAGAAAATAGAGAATTAAATTTGTTTTCTTTTCTTTTTATAAAAACACAAATTCAATTTTTACTTTTATTACAACTTACTTTGGATCCTTGATCAACAAGGACCGTATAAAATCTTTGGCAATTTCAGACACATTACTGAAAAATTCATTGTCAAATTGATATTGGCAAGCAGCAACATTTGCATATGTTTCTTGCTTATCCTCGCCTAAAAATGGTGAAGCTCCACTCAAAAGAATATATGTTAAAACACCAACAGCCCAAAGATCGGTTCCAAGACTGAGTGGTTCATAATTCACAATTTCTGGTGCCACAAATTCAGGTGTGCCAAATAGTGCTCTATGTTCTGAACCAGGTACCAGTCGATGCGATAGACCTAAATCTGTTACAGACAACGATATTTAATATCAATGAATGTGTATCGTATAATATTACAGACATTACCTATCAGCTTAATGCTAGGCATCGGTGGTGGGGTCGACAATAGAATATTCTCAGGTTTAATATCCAGATGAGCAACTTGATGGGAATGTAAGTGACTAAGTGCCATTAAAACTTGACGTACCTTGAAAAAGATTTGTATGTAAAAATTATAGAAGAGTATCCATCATTATTACAATATATAATTTACCACATGAGCAGCTTCTGTTTCACCAGACGGAGTCCAATGGAATAATTCACCTCCTGTAATCAATTCTAGAAGAAGCACCACTGTTGTTCCTGTGTCTATCACTTTGTATAAAGAAACAATGTTAGGATGTCTTAATTGAGCCAAAAGACCAGCTTCTCTTGCTAAAAATAAAGTTTATGCAAAAATAAATATGTTTTTACAATGTATAGTATTATCGTAATAAAATTCATACCAATATCAGCAGCAGCCACACCTCTGGCAACTCTTCTCTTCCTCATTATTTTTGCAGCGTATAGTATTCCAGTTTTCATCTCCCTGCATTTCCGTACAATAGCAAATTGACCCCTGTAATTTTCAATATATAAATATTGAGACACACTGTCGAAAATTACAAATAATACTTGCTTGCCAATTTCTTCAAGTAGTTGATAGTTTTTTTCAATTGGTTCATGGTGGACCTCCATTAAAGTACTCCAATCAGGACCTAAATAACAAACATAAAATTGATAAACCTTGCATAGGTTTTAAACAAATATGTTCAGACAATGACAATGTGTGCATTACTTTATGGTACAAAATTAAAATATTTTTCATTGTTAAATATTTAAAAATAATTAACTGAATAAAATATTTATATATATGTATATTTAATGTAGCAAATGTTGTATATAAACATTAATAGAAATGCACATAAATATATTCTATGATTTGAGCAATGAAAAAACTTAAATATAATTATAAAGAAGCTCTGTTAAATCATTTCTTGGAATAAAGATTGTATGTGTACTGTCTTCAATATTGTAGCAATTGAAGCAATGTAATCCAAATAACATATGTATTGCATTGTAAGTCACTTGAAAATAATAAATAAATTTGCTGAATATACAATTATTTTAGATATCTCTTTTATAAATTAAGTTATAAGTTTAAATTCTACAACAGAGCATCAGAATTTATAAAATCTCAATAACATAAATTTCTAACGTAAAGGGGCAAAATTTTGTAGCTACAGAAATGCGCAGCAATGCGCAATGAACGCAAAGTCAAACCGATTTCTTACTGTCGCTAAGCGTTTCCAGCTGGCGAGACGTGTCCGGCATCATCTCCTGATCCTGTTCATCGTTCGAACTATTCGAACAGCTTTGAGTTTCGCGAAGAGCCGTTACGAAAATTGTGTGACATCTGATGACCTTCACCCATGCCGGCTATCCTACACACACAATCAATATGCTTGTCTTGTGGGTCTTGTAATGTTGCGCGAAACGCCATCTCGCTACCAGCAGTGACTATATGACTGAGAGCAGCCACGGCTCCGGTTTAGCTGTTATCGTTACTCCGCCTTTTTCGCCAGCGCTGTGTTCATGGTGATGCACATTGGTAACTACGTAGCCACATCCACGAGCAATTTGGCGGCAAGCACGATATGTATACGCATATCTACGGTTCTTTTCGATGCTCCATTCATAGCGTGTGGTTCTATTCCGCGCTGTATCGGTATTACCGACATATACTGCAGACTCGAGCTGGTCCCATCACTGAGAGAATCGCGTAGTAAATTTGCGAATTACCTAATTGCTTTTTTAAACTCTGATATTTTAACGGCTTTGATTGTAAAGTGTTGACTCTTCAGTGCTAGACATAAAAAACTGACCTACGAGTTGTCCAGACTGGATCTGTGAGATCCACGCGACTTTAAGTTGGAATATCTCCGCAAAAAAATCAATAGAGTTTTTCTTTTTTTAAATCGAAAGGTTTTTTGAACAATTCTGCGTCGATCAAAAAAAACAGATTGAAAAACTCTCCGGTAGTTTTGAAGATATAAGCGTTCAAAGAAAAAAAAAAATCTGAGACAATTTTTTTCTCGAAAAAAAAGGCTTTTTGGTTAACAATTCATAACTTTTTGTGTATATATAAGATTTTTACAAAATTCTAACGCAGTTTTGTATAGATTCGTTTGTACTTTCAAGGACAAAAGTGTTTTCTAAAAATTGTAAAATTAAAAACATTTTCACAATGGGTTGTTTGGGATGTTCTTTGAAGAATGCATTTTTCCTAACTTTGACATGCAATGTTTTAGCCATAAATCAATATTTAGACATATTTTTTTTTTTTTTTAATAGAAAAGTTAAAACAATCCTGCGTCGATCAAAAAAAAAAAAAAAAAAATCGGTTGAAATTTGAAATCGGAATCGAGTCGACGAGTTAGTTTTTGAATAAAACTGAAAAAAAAAAAAAAAAAAAAAAAAAAAAAAATTGAGAAAACCTCTAGTAGTTTCAAAGAAACGTTTGAAACGTTTCTGCGCGCCACGATCCAATAAATCGCTATAAATGTACACATATTTTGATAAAATTATGAAAAAAACAACAATTTTTTTAATATATTAGAAGTGCTCAAACTGAAAAAAAATTTACTTAATTTTCAAAATGCCAACGTTTTGTCCAGACTTGAGTCTCTCCAATGACCTTCACTATTGTTTAAGATCCTAAAGTTTTTTTTCATGGCCTTCAGACGTCGCGCTAAATTAATACCTAGTAGAGACAGCTTTAAAACTTTTAGGTGAGTCTCGAAGACCCCATATCTGGTACTGAAAGTTTAAACATGTTTATGTGCGCTATATTTTTTAATCACGCCGTAAATACAAAACATTCATCTAAGAGTGCGATAAATCATCCCTTTTATCACAATCTTTGTAACTATATAATTGTTATATTATTGTTAATATGAAAATCTCTTGTACCAAGAGATGTTTTTTACAAAAATACTTATTTGTGGTTAATCATATTGTAACAAACTTATCATTCTGATAAGTATTCGCTTCTCATGATATCTTTGTGCACTTTCAGCGTTAGTAAATCGATATTTAAATAATCAGGACAATATAAGTCAGTTTGGATTTAAAAAAATCTAAGAAATTCGGTTTTATGTTATACTAATGTATATTAACGCAATTTATGATTTGTTATCTATTTGTTTCAACTATTTTAAAATACGCGCTTTTATGTATTGAAAAAACAGATAATATTACAGAAATAACGGTAATATAACTTTAATGCCGTGAACAAAGCTATAAAAATTTCGAAAACATAAATAGTATGCAAACCACATTTGGAATATAAAACGGCGTGAACAAAATTTCGCATAATTCCTTTTTTAATATCTGCCGCTATTTTTTACATATACGCATTCTCGAATTCTCGAATATAACTGAAATAAAATAATAGGATTAGCTTTACTTTTTTGCAAAAATTAAATATGCGCGCGTAAAATGTACATAAAGAGCTTATAATTATAACTTGATAAGTACGTTTGTGTGTGAAAATGTGTGTAAAACATTTATTTTTTGTAGATTAAAAAAAAAAAGATATGTAGAGAACAAATATGTACATACATCGTACTTAAATTTAATCTATACAATTCAGTATATATAAACTTATTTGCACAAATTCTAATTTTCTGTTTTAATTAATTAATTAATTGTTTGTTTATATATTTTGAATATACAGTTTAAAATAAAAACACAAGAAAACTTATATACATAACTTGTTATTGTTAAAAATTGTTCCAATTGAATTTATAACTTGTCATCTTGTGTGTGTGTGTGTGTGTTTTAACTATATATTATCTTAACTGTATATATATATATATATTATTTTGATTGAATCTTATCAGTTTTTTTATGACAATCAGTAGATTATAAGTAATTTGTATTTTGTTTCAGTAATAAATTTCAATTCTTGTAATCATTCCGCAGATTAAATTTAAAATGTTTTTCTGCTTTTACAATACAATTGATATTTTAATCAAATTTAATATGAATTTTTCAATTACTGCAAGTTGTTGAGATTAGTTGACTAAAGCTATTTCGAGTCATAATACTTACAATTGTAGGAAAACATACATACACATGTATTACATTTCGCATACAAGATATACAATATTCTCTAGTGCTGTTAAAAAAAGCGTTGCAATGTCACTCTTCAGCAGTCTTTTTTCATGTTGAAAACTGTTCTTGATAGAATCCGTTATTCAAGCGCGCGCGGTCGCCACTAAAATTTACTGCTCTCAGGTTACATGAAAAAATGTCTCCGTGAAAATTTTGAAAATATAATCTCAACAATGTTTTTACTTTATCTCAACGAAGAATACTTTAATTTAGCGACACTTTTTTTATACTGTTCGAAAACTATCAGAAAAAATTAACAAGACAGAGAAAGAGAGAGAGAAAGAAAGGTATCGGTAAATTAGTTTGAAATTACCGATTTTTATGTCAAAAAGACAAAACCGATATCGCACGTGATGAGATATTGCCAATTATTTATTATAAGAACATCCATATTTTTTTTCTGCATGCAAATGCAAGTATCCAATGCAAGGATCGACAACGAAGGACGAACAGGTGTCCCCCGGTGTAGACAGATCGCGTAGCGTGACGCTTGCGCGAAACCCTCGCCAGGGGTGAGAAGCACCGGCAAGCCAGCCACCGGTTGGGGGGTTACTGGTAGTGAAATAAAAGCCAGTGGGGTAGTAGTTCGCGGCGGAGCAACTCTTGCGGATCGTATTACTCTGCACATCAGCCTCTTCGAGGTCAGTTATCACTCGCTTTTACTGGTTTATTATCAGTAACGCTAATGCGTTTGAAATCGTCGCGATTTTCTGTCTTCTTCGTCATGAAGAAACATTTGTCAAACAATTTATATTCCAATCTCACCACAACTTTCTGAAATATATTTTTAGAAATTTTCTTCATTTAAATTATTGATATCAGAAACATTTAAAGAAAAATTCTTAAACTTTTTTACTCTGAATTTTAATTTTTCACATTGATTTATATCTTTAGAAATCTTGCGAAGAATCTCATAGAATTTCTCACAAAAGTTTCTGCTAAATTTCTCTAAATATTTATTAGTTTCGGAATATTAATTTTCTCTCTCTCTCTCTCTCTCTCTCTCTCTCTCTCTCTCTCTCTCTTCAATATCTTGATTTAATATCTTTATATTATTTAACAGATAAAGAGAATAAAGTGAATCGAGATATGAGAAAAAATTTCTTCAAATCCAAGATTTTCTGGGATTATCGATTCGATCGAGTGGACTCAATTGAATTTGAGAACACATTAATGGCGACAAAAAAAGTTAGAAGTGGCACCCACTACGATAATAATTGCAATTGCTCGCGCGAACGATCCGCTTGCTGATGTAACCTGTTGAGTATATAATCCTCATTTTTCAGTGATATATTTCGCTCGGTATATCGGATCAATCTTGCGCCTGAATGATATTTTAACCAATAACCATAATTCGTCGGAAACGCAGTGCGAATTCTCTCTTGTCTCTTCAAAGAGGATTTTCTTTGAAAAAAATATATCCGCATTTTCCTTACTTACAAAAATTAATCATCTTTTTAGATTTTTAAGATAAAAACTTTAACTTCAGCAATGTTTGATCGTAGAAAATAGTAACATTTAAATATTCTCGCTCGCAATATTGTGTTTCAAGTTTCTGGTATTATTGGTCTTTCTAAATTTACACTTTCTTGAAAGTTTTTTTCTAAGATTTCGCGAGAAATACATTTCACCTTGATTTATTATTCAACTTATTGATTTGATTATTTTTGATTCTTTCTTAAGTGACTTTTAAGTCAATTAAGTTCTTCTTAATTGAATCATATATATTCTTTGTAAATTCTCCTTCTTTGTCGTGAATTTCCGAATCCCTTGATATATTCTCAACTATTAATCCTGAAATACATATATATATATATACCACCGTTATTCGGAGAGCTTGCGCAACAACCTTCTTTTAAGAAAGGCATCTAAGTTCAATATCCCTCAACAATCCTAAACGGTGCGTTTTCAAATGGACAGTGCTATAAAAAGTGTGTGAATGTTAGTGAGTGTAGTTTTGACTAAGCGATGACGAAGTCAACGACTGTGCAAGTCGTCTTGACGAATTCTTACGAGAACTCGTTGATTCTGTGGAATGCTACTACTTCAAACGGTATCGGAATCAGTCTAGAAACAACGAGCACCAGTCCCACTACCAGTGAAGACGATGTTAATAAACTCAACAATTGGTGGGCAATGCTTGCCACTATCCTTGTACTCGGAACGGCCGCGGGAAACATTCTGGTCTGCTTGGCGATTTCCTTGGAACGTCGACTACAAAACGTCACTAATTATTTCTTAATGAGTCTTGCTATTACGGATCTCATGGTTGCCATTTTGGTGATGCCGCTGGGAATCCTTACGCTTGTCAGAGGTAAATTCACAAAAATACAGAATTTGCAATAATAATAATTTGCCTTTATAATTTTCTTAATTACAATATATATTGTTCTTTATACATGTGTAGCATTAAGTAATATTTAAAAATACTCTTAAAGAGAGTAATTTGTATATTTATTGATATTATGACATTGAGATACAGTAAAGTTGTTAACATTTAATTTCATAACGTACTGAGTAAAATGTTGCGTGCCGATTTTGGGCAATTTAATTAGAGACGAGAAAAGTTAAATCGCGCCAAAAAGGACGTATGAAAATGTTATTTATCGTTCATAATTTTCGAATCTAAAATAAAAGCTTGAGAAATGTTTCAACATTTCCGTGTAAAATGCTGATTATTTGAGAAATATAATCACAAGAAAACAAGAAACCTGGAAAGCATAGGAATGTTACTTACAAAACGACTATTTACTCTTTTGAACAATTTTTGAAAGAAACAAATTGCGTAAAAACTTACTACTATAAGTGATAATATTTAATCGATATTATATAAATAGTATCGTGTTCTCACGCAAAAAATAAATAAAACTACTAATCAAATATAGTTAGACGTTTGCCATGTGTGTTACGAACGCGCTACTTCAAGTGGCCAGTGTATAAAAAGAAAAAAATTGCAGGAAAGAAATGTATAAAGATGTTTGGCTATTTACTGCCGAACGTTATTGTGTCTATTTTTGTACATTTTTTGGAACGAGAAAGGATAAAATTTTTCAATCTTCTAAGATGTTACTCGATTGAAATGTAGAAAAAAAAGAAAAAATATAAAATAAAATTCAGAGAGTGCTATTTACAAACTGATCACTATTTCGAGCGATTTGGCGAAAGGTGAAATTTTTATTGGCATTGCTGCACACATAGTGAAACTAATATTTTTCTACAATCTGAAATAAAATGTCGCGCCCATCTGTTCCATTTTATCTTGCCAAAATCTCATATTATTCTTTTTATTTATATTCTCGCACAGAGAAACTTTTGCACAAATAGAAAAACTAGAATCTTTTCAAAGAAACATTAGAAAAAAAAAAAAAACAAAAGAGAGAAAGATTTATTTTAGTCTCTGTACTTTTTAACCAATTTAAAGAAGTAATTACAAAGTAATTTGAATAAAGATTAGTTTATAAGTAATTACGTAATTTGAATAAAGACAAAACGCTAATTGTCGTTGAGACGTCTTTTTATTAAAAGATCAAAATTCCGCCAGAGTCGTGAGAGAAACCTTATCCGATGGGCGAAAAATCGCTCTATCTTATATATATAGACTATAAACCTTATAGGCGTTATTACGAACAATTTAAGGAGCCGGGAAAACAGGTATATAATCCGCGCTATTTATCGCTGACGTTAGCCACATCGGTCTTCTCGCGTGATAGGGATAGCTCTTGCCTTTGCAAGTATCTCAGAGAAGCTCAAGGCTCTTTGTCGGCCAAAACGAGGCGCGCTTCTGCATAATGGATGGCAGACAACTAGTGATGCTTACTTGATACTCGCAGCTGCAACAGCAGTATAGTTGGTACTGATAGCCGAATTTCCATATTCAAACATCGGGAGTAGAGCGATCGTGTAAGACGTTAACTCCAGCCCGTAGCGCATTCACTGCTATAACGTTTTTTTTTTTTTTTTTTTATCTTCACGAAAACTAGCAGCGATAATGATAATCCGATGTAACAACCTGGAATTAGCTCTCTCAAGAGTGTAACATTTTAATTCCATAAACGAAGTCCGATCGCGAAAAACGTCGCTGTTAAATATATTTTCAATACGTTGATTGACTACGTTGTTTGTCCAAATATTCTTCTCAGGTTATCTTTTATTCAATTCTTATTTGTAAGTGTTTATTTTCGTACAAATATTGAACAAGTACATAAAAGTTCGTATCCGATTTATCAAAAACCCGGTAAAAAATTTGCCATGTATAAAATTGTATGGACGTATAAATTCGACATATAAATTTGCATAATTAGATATAATAATTTTACTTTGTGTATAAATATACATGATTTTTATATATCAAAAACATTTTTTTTAAATATAATAAAAATATAGTTTTATATAAGTTTTTTGTATCTAACATGATACTAATAGAGTTACTTTGTAATTTGATATGGAATATCTCTGAAGCCATTCTCTTGAAAAAAAAAATTCTTCGTGTATAAATTGTATGGACATATTCGGCACATATAAATTTGCATAATTAGATGTAATAATTTTAATTTGTGTATAAGTATATATGAAAAATTTGTGTATAAGTATATATGAAAAATTTGTGTATAAGTATATATGAAAAATTTTTTACCGGGAATCAAGCATTGGCATATAAAAGTTTTTTTATTAATCAATAATGTAATCCGCCGTCGTTTGGCCGACGGAGAGCAGCTCAAAATAAATTATTCTTTTGCAATCTCGCCAAACAGTAAGCATCACCTTCTCAGTATGCAAATTGGCTTTTGCCATGGATTCTGCATGTTCATCTGCTAGTTTCCAAGTGAGTTTGCGTTAAACATTGTTGTAGAATCTATTTTTCATCGCCAGTCACTAGTCAATCCAAAAACGACTCTTTATTTAATCGGTCAAGCAAAGAAACAGCTGCAGAAACTCGATTCAATTTGTTCGCTTCGGTTAGCAAATGCGGTACCCACATATCGAGCTTCAAAGTGCACCGAATCTTTTTTAAATATCGAAATGCGGTTGATCTGTCAATGTTTAATCTTTCAGCAATCTCTTTTGTTGAAATTTCGCGCTAATTGTTTTGCACTAAATTGCGCGCAATATCATCATTTATGATCGGCGTGGCCTGGTCATCAAAGTTCTCTCTGAAATCATCACGTCTAATTTTGCACCAATCATTTTTTAACAATTCAAATTGCTGGTGCACAATCCTGATAGACATCTTGAATGTTTTTACAGGCAGTTTCCAACTTTTACACTCTTCCGAAATTCATAAAGCATAATGCAATAAATATTATAATGCAATTTTTTTGCACTTATTTAAAAAATTTTTTTTCACAACATAAGCTCGATCAAAACATACAAGTCTTTCGCTCAAATAAATATTGAACATGACACTCTTCCATAGATATGCACTATATACACATAACAATCACAATGGCGCTACCATACAGCTTTCCTGATATCTACTGGAATCGGGCACACACTTTTGCACTCGTCCAATATATACGTGCGAAATAATTAGTAAATCATTTTGTTTTTAAATACAAAATTCTTATTTATTATTCCTTTATTTTGTTAGAGTTCAATAGAGAAATGTTTTGATAGTGATATAACAGAAAAAAAAAAAAATCTGTCGCCTCTGTACGGATGACCAAAATATAAATCATGATTCGCGCTTCTTCGGCAAGACATCACGTAATTGTATTAAAGCGTGACTTAATTTAGCCGGGGTAAGATCAAATATAGTACGCGGCCTACAACAGAAAGACGGCGGCCGAGCACGTCAGGTGTAAAACAAATAGGGAAACAGAAGATCGATGCACAGAAATAACTTACACGTATTTACGGGATTCGCCGCTCTAACTGTTCCCTAGAGAAAAAAGGATTCGTACTCCTGCACGGGTCAATCACAACCGTTATTTCCATTACTGTCGTTCTCGTTTGCACATGCATTATGTCACGTGATTACATGAGAAATCTGAGTTCATTATTTGTGAATATACAAAATCATTTCTCTCTCTCTCTCTCTCTCTCTCTCTCTCTCTCTCGTACGGCGCATAAAAAATAATTTTTAAATAATATTAATTATCAGTACCATGTATGCGGAAACATTTTAAAAGATTTCGGGATATGACAAGAATTAGACTAATAGATGAAAAAAGTTTCTCCATCTATCATTCATTACATTAGCTAAAGTCGCAGAGAGATAAGAACTTCTATCATGCAAATGTGAGGAGTGAAAAATTCGCAAAACTGAGGATTCATTAGCAAGGAAATAGATTTTGGAATAGCAATTCGTAATGAGCAGAGCGTAAGACGGAGGGATGGAGTCAGATTAAATGGAATATTCATTAGATATAATTATTCGTTCTCTGGAAACTTAGGAAAAAGATCGGCCGATTAAGCGTAGATAACGCGATAACTTCTGGAGAGAAAATATATATCCTTCATTCCCGAGGGATACAAGATGGAGGGAAAAAGATCCTGAGATCTTGACGCGTGACTAAAGTCGGATATTCTCGAAGATTTATGCATCCGGCATTTTAAGTTCTACAACTGTCAAAAAAAAAGCAAGTTCGAGAAATTCAAATATACCAAATATATTAGTGTATACGTATATGAACAAAATGTTTTTATACTAACAATAAATAAAATAAAAATATATTATATACTACTTTTATACTAATCAAATATTATATACATTTATAATTTAAAAATTTTTTAAATGTCAATTAATTATTTAATTATGTAATATAAATAAAGGTTTGTTGGGCTTCTTCAATTTATGTTTATTTTTTTTTTTTTATAGTATGTATATAACAATACGTAAATATAAACTCAATTTAATTTAATGAACAATTCTCTTTGTTAATTTCTTAAAACGTAGAAACGAATAAGACTCGATTTCTGATCTGGCAGGACTTGGTTCTAACACGTGCATGTGCGTGCTAACTAAACTGATTATGAAGATAGGACACGCGAGAAATATGGTTAATTGTTAAGTGTTCTATTGGGAAGACACGTCTATGCATCCTGTGGACTCCTACGGATAGAACAGAACTTCGAAACGTGTCCTTAACTTTATTATGCGCTTAGAGAGAGAGGCACTTTAATAAAATTACACACAGAACCCATCGGCGCATCCTGACGCGACTACTAATATCGGTAATAGCGATAATATCGATACTAATTGGAGGAAAGATGCTTTCCTTCTCAGAATAGGAGAGAGAGAACGTGTTTTAATTAACTACTTATGTTGGAAAGTTAATCGAGAATAAACAGATTATCGATTTTCGAATCTCTCAA